GTTGTCTCTAAGGCTGGGTGGAGGTTTCTATCCAGCTCTAATTCACAGCAATACAGCAGTGTCTGTTCTACAAACACTGTCATCTTGGGTTCTCATGTGAGGAACAAAAAAAATAAATCTAAAACCATAGAAGAGAATTTTTTTAATTTAATATTGTTCTGTTTCTTTAGGGGGGCTCAGTGGTTTTCCATTAACTTAATGGGCCATGTCACCATTTCACTACACCTCATCTAAACTGAGACCTTATTTCAGTACAAATCAAATCTCACATAAAGCAGTAAGACCAGTGTTGTATCACAGTCACACTATTAGCAACAACTAACACACACAAAGTACAACCATGAAGTTTGTGAGGTATCTATATTAAGCTTCACAAAATGTGGCCACAACTCGACTTTAGCTTATATTAAAAACATGGACAAATCCTCTGGGTCTGAAATAGATGCAGATCATGCATTCAGACTTCATCATCATCCTCATCCTACACAGATCACATACACATGATTTGAATTTTGCTCAGAGACAAACACTTGGACAGGCCATTCAAAACCCTCGCTACACATAGTGTTGCTTCTGATCTGACATTCGAAAAAATACGGAGGAAAAAAATAAGCAAAATATACTCTCTCGTAGGGCTGCAAGGTGGCTCGGTGGTTAGCACCGCTGCCTCGCAGCAAGAACGTCCCGGTGAGGACAGCTAGGATCTTTCTGCGTGGAGTTTGCATGTTCTCCTTGTGCAGCGTGGGTTTTCTCCGGGTTGTCCGACTGCTTCCCACCGTCCAAAAAACATGTTGAGGATAATTGGTGATTCTAAATTGTCCGTAGGTGTGAATGTGAGTGGTGACCTGTCCAGGGTGTCCCCTGCCGTCGCCCTAAGTCAGCTGGGATAGGCTCCAGCCCCCCGTGACCCTAGTGACGATTAAGCAGTGTATAGATAATGGATGGATGGATGTTTTTGAATTGCGGGAGGAAGCCAGGAACCCAGTGAGAACGAGAAGAACATGCAAACTCAATGCAGAAAGATTCCAGGCGTCCTAACCGGGGATCTTCTAGGTGCGAGGTGGCAGTGCTAACCACCAAGCCACCTTGCAGCCCTACAAAGTAAATGCTATTTTTTAATGTAATGCATAATTGTTACACAAATATAAACATGACACTACTATTTTTGTCATACTTCTGTGACGCAATGTGTTAGGAATGCTTTACTACTTACAGCCTCTGTAAGCCAGTGTAGAGCTCCATATCGACATCCCTCAAGGTCTGCAGACCAGTCCAGTTCTCAATGTGTCTGGAAAGAAGGACAGGCAGGACATACAGTATTAGCAGAGCCACAGCTTCCATTTGTTTCCATTATGAATTAATCTCAGCATTACTTTCACCATGTTAATTTCAATAACAGGGCTATAAAATGTCGGGAAAGAGAGAGACTGTTTTTTGTAGAAATTTTTTGTAGTCAAGTGTTTTGTAGCCCAAAGGCTTTAAAAAGCACTTAAAAACACAGGTCCTCTTTTTTTCTTTTTTTTAATTCCAACAAAACCTCTTTCTTGTATATTAACCTTTTGGGCAGCGGATTACATGTCATTTATTTGAGAATCTTGACAATTTATTGATTTTTACTATGTAAAGTTTAAATGTTGACTTGACTTCATAAATTCAAGCGATTACAGATCCACTGGAGCAGCCCTGTGACAGTGTTCCATTCTGCAAAGTTTTTTCCTGTGAAAAGACCAAAGTTTCAACCTGAAGTTTTACCTGATTATTGTCTTTTTGAGCTTTATGGTATCTTACTGTACTTTATTTTACTGCCAGCTAATCCCTAACACAGCGCCATTAAGACACTATTGATCCCGCAACAAAGAAATTTTCATCTTGCATATGCCAGGAAGCTGGAGAGAGCGCATGATCAGCCACACCAGTGCACACCGGGAGCAGATAGGGTAAAGGGCCTTGCTCAGTGGGAGCTTGGTGGTGTTGGGGTTTGAACCCCTGACATTCTGATGAGTAGCCCAAACTCGTGACTACTAAGCAACCACTACCCAAACTGTCAATCCAGTTTAGTATTACTGACTCCTCACATGCAAAGTTCTTAATGATCAATCTCAGTCGTATCCTGTAGACCTTATGGTACCCTATTACCCCAGAAGAGCACTTTGCTGTCAGAGTGCAGGCGTACATGTTTCCAAAAGTAGAATGGGAGGCAGAGTCTGCAGCTATCAAGCTCTTCGTGTGTGAAACCAGTCCTAGTTTAGCTTTGAGGCCAGGCATCCTCTCCCTAACCAGTTAAGGCAGATGGCCACCCTTCTGGAGTCTGGTTCTGTTATAGGTTTCTTCAATTCAATTCAGTTCAATTCAGTTGTATTTGTATCGCAGTTTACAACATGTCAACAAAGAACTTGTTCAAAAAAAATCGTTTGCATTTGTTGGGTTTCTCTCAAAAATATGACATTGGAAGGTTTTGACCTCAGTATGGGAAGTGCCCTGAGATGACTTTTGTAGTAGAATTACCACCTCGCCTCTGGATGCATCCACCAATCAGTCAAGTTCCAGTTTACATTCACATTTATCCCAACTTGACCTTTGAATTTTTGTCAAAAAATAATCACCTCATAATTTTGTCCTATCAGACATATGTAAAAAATTTCGTCATAATTAGTGTAAGGATTTGTGAGATCAAACTGACCTGTTGGGCCTTTGATGTAAATTCCCAATTCTAATCAGTCAGTACTTGTGAATCTAAGTTACTGTTTGTGTAAAATGTGAAGATATCCCCTCCAGGCAGGAAAGTTCTTGAATGGCCTTTGTATAACACAAAATGCCTCTGACTTCAAATGTTTCTGGTGCAGAGACATAAAAATAGACATGCAAACCACACACCAGCAAATATCTTCAAACACCCAATACACTACTACAATATTAATCATCGCATTTACCCACAGGCTACGTTCCAGAGTAAGAGCCACATTTGAAAGCCTGTGACCCTTCAGAGGCCTGAAGGCCAGCTGACTAATACTGGACCTGCTGCCAAAATGTGGTGCACAGTCTTTTTGTTTGCAGAAGTCTGTACACTATCATTTAAGTAAATTAGTAAAGAAAATACTTGATTTATTTAATACAAGCTAAGTACTACACAGCTGGCTTTTACCCAACACATTTTATTCCACGCCAGAAATCAGTTCTTATTCGGGCTCCAGACTGACTGCTCACTGGTTGTGCTGATGTGCCTAGCTTCTTTTGTGAGTGCACCAGCAAATAATGTTGGTGCAACCAACATTATGCGCACCACAATAACAAAGGCAACTGGTGAGCTCCTGTGTTCTGTTGTTATGAAGTGGATGCTGTGACAAACTCTCTTGGAGGTGATCTTCATTTACTCTGACAGTAATAAATAGTAAAGAAAAACCAGCATGTCATAATTCAGTCATAATTTTGAATTAGTTACTCATCATTTACTGACCATGTCATTAATGATCCAACAACTGTAGCGTAATCGGTGTGTGTCTGACCATCATGTGTCCGTCAACAGTCTCTAGCTTGAATGGCTAACCAGTTGATATTTTAAAGGTGAGCTAGAAGCGGTGAGCTAGAAGCGGCCTGTCCTCGGAATGATTCGATTTTGGGTCAATCAGTGCAGAAATAGCTAGAGGTCAAATGTCACTTTTTCAAAATGCCACACACACACACACACACACACAGCAGAACTCAGTAGATAAAAATAATACAAACACATTTTAAATCCAACTTCTAAACATATTTCGACTGGGTTCTCTTTGCACACTCACTTTACATCTTTGAATGTAAAATCACTCACTTGGAGAACAGACAGTGTCAAAAATGGAGCTTTGCTTGGCAATAAATTAAATTCTTCTTGCTTGAAGCAACAAAGGTGCTTTTTTTTTTTTTTGCATAGATTACAGAGAGGAATGAACACACTGCAGCCTTCCTGAAATACAGCTCACTGTAAAATGCAGCTTTGGTTGGAGCTAATCAAATCCATGCTGAGAAAAGGATTTTGTCTTATAAAAAGCAAACGCTTCATGGTGTCAGAAACACTACGACTGGTTTGAAGTGCAGTTTTAAAAAAATGACTCTGCTGAGTTT